CCTCGGTCTTTGAGAAAATTATCCAGAAGCACATCTGCGAGGGACCAGCAGGGGAGATTATGCTTAGGGGCAATCAACATGGGTTCATTAGAGGCAGGTTGTGTCAGACCAACCTGGTTGCCTTCTATGACCAGATCACAAAAATCTTTGGATGAAGATGTCACAGTGGACATAGTCTTTCTGGACTTTAGGAAGGCCTTCAACACTGTCTCTCACTCCATTCTCATTAAAAAATTAGGCGACTGTAGTGTCGATGCCTACACAGTCAGATGGGTCACAAATTGGCTGGAGGGCCGCACCCAGAGAGTGGTGGTGGATGGGTCATTTTCGACTTGTAGAGATGTGGGTAGTGGGGTTCCCCAGGGCTGGGTCCTCAGCCCGCACTGTCCAACATCTTCATCAGTGACTTGGGTGAGGGAGTGAAAAGACCTTGTTCAAATTTGCGAACGACACTAAGATTAAGGAGAAGTGGGCACACTAGAATGGAGGGAGAGGTGACAACTAGATTTGGACAGGTTACAGGGGTGGGTGGATGAGAATAGGATGGGTTTCAATACTGACAAGTACAAGGTACTGCATCTAGGGAGGAAGAACCAGCAGCATACCTACAGGCTGGGGAACTCCCTTCTCATCAGCACAGAGGCAGAAAAGGATCTTGGAGTCACTATTGATTCCAAGATGAACATGGGCCGGCAGTGTGAGGAGGCGGTCAATAAGGCTAACTACACCTTGTCATGCATACACAGATGCAGGTCCAAGGAAGTGATCCTCTCCCCCTATGCGACATTGGTCAGGTCGCAGTTGGAGTACTGTGTCCAGTTCTGGGCGCTGCACTTCAGGAGGGATGTGGCCAGCATTGAGAGGGTCCAAAGGAGGGCCACTCGCATGATAAAGGGACAGCAGGGCAGGCCCTACAAGGAGAGGCTATGGGACTTGAACCTGTTCAGCCACCACATGAGAAGGCTGAGAAGGGATCTGGTAGCCATCTATAAACTTACCAAGGGGGGCCAGTAGGGAATGGGAGTGACCCTGTTCCCCTGAGCACTAACAGGAGTAACTAGGAATAATGGCCATAAGTTGACCGAGAGTAGGTTCAGGCTAGACATCAGGAAGCACTACTTCACAGTCAGGGTGGCTAGGATCTGGAACCAACTTCCAAGAGAAGTGGTGCTCGCCCCTACCATGGGGGTCTTCAAAAGGAGGCTGGATAGACACCGTGTCGGGGTTGTTTGACCCCAGAATTCTTTCCTGCTTATGGCAGGGGATCGGATTTGATGACCTGCTCAGGTCCCTTCCAGCCCTACCAACTATGAAACAAGCATAGGTGATGCATAAGTGCTGCCAATGTGGGGGCAGGAGCACAACTCCACACCACTACTGCAGTGGGGGGGCACAACTCCACATTGCTGCCACTGCTGTTTTTGCTTGGCGCTGGCTTCAGACAAGGTGCAATCCCATGCCCGTGCCCCACTATCTGTGCAGACATCTGGGGGAGCACATACCCTTTCCTCCCAACCCCAGTATCCCCCCGACACATCACCAATGACTGCAAGAACTACTTGGTCACATATTTTGGCCATGTCCTACTATCAATTCTTATTCTGGAGTTACAATGATTTTGAACACAACTGCATCTGCTTTGCTTTGTGGAGCCTCACCTGGGTGGCCCTTGAGTGGGAGCACTGAGCCTGCTGGGGAGTCAGCTCAGCTGCCCTGGTGTTCGCTCATCTCCTCCCCAGGAAAAGCCCAGACACTTGCCTGCTGTGTCTTAGATGTTAAGTTCAGGAGTGGGGTTCCCTTTTGCTGTGGAAGGACATGCAGGGAGTCATCGCTGGTGGATGCTTCAGGGGCTCCATCTCCCCTACATAACCTCCGGTGTCCTTGATCTCATACACTTGACCTCAGAGGTCAGGCGCCATGTTGATTTGATTGGCTGCCTCTTTCTTATCGGCCATGGTCCATGGCTTACTGGTCATAGACCCAGTGACAGTTCAATAATCCTGCTCCAACAGGGCTTTGTGGGTTCAGGGTTGACTCTAATGGTGGGTCAGCCTGGCAATGTCAGGAGTCCATGAGTGGCCCCAGGGTGCTCAGCCCCCAACCTTAGTCATCAGTAAGACCTTGAAATGAAGGCAAAAGAAATTCAAATAAACTCCAGGGAGGGCCCAGGGGCCCCCTCCCAACTCACGTGTCCTATGCGTGAAGGCACCGATCGTTCCATGGTGTGATCCCAGGACCCAGCTCACTCCCTGGGTCAGGTGCTGGGTGCTCCTCCGTCAGTGAGTGGACCCCCTGCTGGGTCCTCCCCCAGCCTTTCCCTTTGGGGACAGGCAGATTCATGGCCAGCCTGGGAGAGGAACTCGTAGCCTCCTCCCTGCTGTGTTCCCCTGCCTTTTCCCCGCCACCAGCTTTTATTACATCCAGGCAGCATCTTCTCATGATGTCATCCTCCCACGCTGGTCCCAGTTGTATAGAAAAGCAACAGGAGGTTTGTTCCCCTGTGGTAAGCCCTGGCTTGCCACATCTGAAAAGGTAAGTTTACCCTGTTCAAGGGGTTGTTCCCCTGGAGTTCCGGCGGGCTGTCCCTGCCTTGACTCCAACCACGGAAGAAGGGTTTCTGCCCCTCTCCTTTCAGCCCCCTGGGACAACATTTATACCTTTGGCATATATGTGCATTCTTGGGTATATTCCCAAGGAATCCAAATTAAATATTTCCCAGATTACATTTTTACAGAGGGTCTTATTATTGACATGTAGGATTATATTACTGCATTGGAAGAGTAAGACATCTACAAAGGTCAATATCTGGTATGATGAGATGGTATAGCTGTCATCTATGGAGACAGTCATGTTTGGCAGGCTTAACCATTTTGAAATGTTTAGTGGAGTTTAGGAGGAGTTCTTAGAATATTTTGGTAATTAAAATATTAGCCCTTGCTCGCCTTTTTCTTCTTCTGTTCCTCCCGCTTCCTTCTTCCATTTTTTTTCTTTTTTCCCTTCATCGTTTATTATTTGTGACACATAGGTACATTGTTTATACTTCATATAGAGTTGATACATATTTCTTACTTTTGTATTGCATTAAAAAATAATCCTAGAAATAGAAATGCAGTAAGAGAAAGCTAAACCAAAGTAGTTTACCCCTCAGTGAAAGAGGATTAAAGTTCTCGTGATTTAGTTTTTACTTGCCCAGATGAAAAGTGCACACAAAGGCAGTTGCCAAGAAGCAGCTGATATGCATTAAGACCCTGATCACTTTACTCCTAGTAACTGCTGTGTTTTTTCATACCTAAGTTAGTGGATACCAACCTTTTTTTGGCATGCATACCACAAATTAAGCCTCAAATCCTCTGAGTGCCACTTTCATCCCTTTCCCCTGCCTTATGCCCCATGTGATATGTTGGTGTGCTTTTTGCTCCTTGTCCCATGCTCCCTCCCTGATTTGCTCCTCTGTTCCCTTCCTCCTGCCCTGTGCTCCCTGACTGATCTGCTACTCTCCTTTCTGCACTAACTGCCACTGTGGTGCCTCCCCTGTTCCTAGTCTAATGTGTGCCACACACAGAGGCTACCCATGCCACTTGTGGCATATGTGCTGCATGCTGGTCACCCCTGCCCTAAGTAGTTCCATGAAACTCACATCTCAATTTGTACAATCAAGCGCCACTGTGTATAGTAAGTGGTAAGTGCTATTACAAACATGAGGGCGTCTCTACCCTTGCAAATTAATTTGGATTAAATTAAGGAGCTAATTGTAAATACAGTAGCTGTTTCTGAGTAACTCCCTATGTGGATATTCTTATTCTGGAGAAACAGTAAGCTTCACAGAAATAAGGCACTCTTATTGCAGAAGACAAAGCATCTGTGTACATAGTTATTAAGGAATAATTCTTCTGAATAACTGTATAAGTATATACAATTTAGATGATAGGGTTTAAACTGGCTTGGAGATATTTCCACCTTGTTCCATTACAAACCTGTGTGGTTATCTTTAGCTTCTCTCTTCCACCCCAACTACCCTAGAAAGAGCTCATTATAGATTAGAAGCCATCAGTCCTTGCCTTCCATCTTGCAGATGAGGAAAGGGCTAAGAAAAACATGTTATAAAGGTTTTCCTCGTCATGTATAGATATGCAAACAAGATGAGTTATTGAACTGACGGGACAGAGAAAAATATCTTTCACTATTTATAATTATATTAGGGTAAGTTTACTCTAGAAAATAAAAAAATAAGAGTCAGTTGTTCAGTACTCTGCACATTAGGTGAAGTAAAGGGCCTAATTCAATATGTATTAAATGTATGTAAAATTTTTCATCAACTTCCATGAGCTTTGGATCAGTCCCTAAGGGGAGTAACATCAATGGTGAACCACATCTCTGTATGCTGTCTGCCACCAGGATGTTCCACTCCTGATGGAAGGGAGCACCCACAGTCTAGGAGGTGAATTCACATTTTTAACTCATAGCTTCTCTGAGGCTAGTCTAAAGCATGTTGTTTTGAGGGTGGTTTTGGTAATATGGAAGTTGTCTCATTAGATCTGTGCCCCCCCCCCCCCCAAAAAAAAAAAAAA